TATTTTGGGTTTTTATCTGTTTTTGTCGCATTTCTTTAATTTTTTTAATGGAGATGAAAATGCTCTGCTAAATAGACATGTTTTCGGATATTGATCAGAGCAACAGATAAGCTTTAAAAGTGAATTGGGTATTACTCCATCATTTCCTTTGGAATTGGGTATTGGCTCCATTTAATTGTGTATTCCAAAACTCGATACCCTATGATTTCAAGATCAATTGGGTATTCAATTATGATGTTATGAAGTTTATGGTTTCAATAACAATACAATTAAGATCTTAACTGTTTTAAAAAGAAAATAGGATTAACAATTTACTAGAACTTTTCACAATTGTTTTATTTTTTATATAAAATGCTCATGTTATATTTCATAATATTTTTAACAAGTTCATTTTCTGACTCATTTTTGATTATTTACGACTGTTTTGTTTCAAATCATTTTCCCTTTTGTACGACGCCATATTGCTTTGATACAGCTGGGACCTACTTATTGACGGTCTCCGCAAAATCAACGGTCTCTGCCGGTCTCTCGGACCGTCAACCTGAGTAGACAAATCGACGGTCTCATGCTTTATTGATATGGCTTAGTCGGTCTTTGGAGACAGGGGACCGTTGAAGACCGGAGACCGTTGATTAGTTAGCATTGACTCGGGAATATTCGGATATCATGCATATCGATATAATTTGTCCAAAACTATGAGTGTACGACTGATTAATTTTTCGTTGATGAAAATGACAATACGCACAGGTTTTTAAAACAATTGCGTATTTTATTTTTTTTAATGGATTTTGATATGCATTCTTAAAAAATCAGTTGCGTATTTTATAAAATTAATTGCGTAAATACGCAAATACGCACCTTATCTGTTGCTCTGTTGATGGAAGTCGCGAGCGTCGCTTCCATCCGTTTTAATTATTCCACGAGAATACGAGAAACCCCGATAATACGAGAAACAGGGATACTGCGTTTTGGTAAATATTTATAATGATTAGTTATTCTTTGTGGATTGAATAATATATCATTCTATAGTTTATTAGTGTTGACCAATTTTGCAGTTATCTAGTGATAATTCGTGATCATTTATTAACCTAATTAAATATTATTATTGATATTTCTGTCTTGGTTTTTCTCTTTTAAATTTTAAGTGAACAATAATTTCAATAACCAATAAATAACTTTAGGGCCTATTTGACTAGTTCTAAGGCCGATTTGACATATAAAAATTGTTGTGTGGCCGATTTGACTATTTCGGGGCCCGATTTGAGTTGGGGCCGATTTGACCCGCTAGTTTGCATATGGCATAACTATAAGCAAGGAAAACATTCATCAATTATTGATACCTTTGGGTAATGTGCATCTTTATTTGACCCGCCAAACACTCTAGTCTCTAGCAGTTCTAGTCTTTTTTCAAAAACGTCCAAGTTGTCAGCCATCATTTATAGTCCGAAATATTGCTATTGAAATTATTAGTAATCGCCAAGGTGTTCCGAAGAACTGATAACGATTCGCCCCACTGACAATTTGCCGGAGAACGACTCGCCACGCTTTAGTGATGATATTCGCTCCAGAAAAGAGACGATTCGCCATTTTTGAAAATAATCATTTAAAACGTTCTTTGAGTTATTCAAAATATAAAATGATTAGATTTCAATATATTTTTTGTGTATATATGTGAAATAAAATGTTCTCTTTATGTATCTTTAAGAACAGAAATTAATAGGTCAATTGAACTGATAGCTAGGTTTCGGTCGGTCTATTTACCCCAAGACACCCCAAGACTACCCCAAGACACCCAAGACTATCCCAAGACACCCAAAGACTACCCCAAGACATTCCCAAGATACCCTAAGACACCCCAAGACTCAATCGGAACTCCTCGGGCGACCCCAAGACTACCCCAAGACACCCCAAGAATACCCCAAGACACCCCAAGAATCCCACAAGACACCCAAAGACTACCCCAAGACACTTTGTTTAACTGATATGTAATTACGATCTTATTTTACATTGTTCTCCATTATAATGTGTGTCTTTTTCCCGCGCTTCGATAAAAACTGTGTGTGCAATGTCATTTGAATGCTTTAGTTTAATAATAAAATAACCGGGCTGTCATTACAGTCAGAGCTCTATTGAGTCAGGCATAGTAAATCAAAGCACTGAAAGCGAAAGCAAGTATTTTAACTACACGATTAGCACTAAAATTCCGAAAGGATATTAATAAAAAAGAAATGATTAAATTAAGGGACTCTACTGAGTTTTTTTTTAACATGACGGGAGAAGAAACATTTTTCCGATATTTGTGTACCATTTGATGTAGGTCTGATCTAATGAATTGTGTGCAAATTTTCAAATCATTCTGTCAACCCGTTTTTTTTTCTTCTACAATTATCGTTTTTATTCTGCAAAATGACCCAGAAATGAAAAGGGTTGCATATCGGGTTGAGAATTGCACTTACGATCGATTTTCAATTTAATTGTGGCTATATTTCGTTATTATCTTTTGCAGATTTTTTCCATTAAAATGTGCCCCATTTTATAATTTTTGATAAATGTATAAATTTCAAACAGAAAAAAAGAATCCCTTGAGAAAATCCAAAATGGCAATATTGAAAATGTTGCAGGCTCGGTTTGAATGGGTCTTTTCATCGACTATACTGTCATCTGCAAACTACCGTCTACGCCACCTGCCAACGGCTAAAGCAGAATTCAACAATTGATCATGGTAATGGCAAAATTATGCATTTAGAAACATCCGCAGATGTTTTCATATGGCAGTTATAATTATATCATCGAAACATCAATATGACACGTATGTGCAATTCCGTGAAAAGTATATATGTTGGCTTCTCTAAAAAGATAATTAATTCAATATTTATTAATGATCCTAATTCCAAATGTTCCAAAGCCAATGTATTGTCCACTCAAAATGAAAATTATGAAAAATGGATGTATCAAAGCACGGATTTATATTACAATATAATGTAATATAAATCCGTGATCAAAGGTACATCCATAATTTTTCATTCTTTAGAAATCACAAACATGTGTTAAATAATATTTCAATAATAGATTTAGAGCATGCTAGAAGTAAAACAAATGAAGAAAGTAGGCTGAACGTACATGTGCAGTAATTTGTCGTTAGGTAGAAAAATGTAAACAAAGTAGTATTTGAAAGACCCTGATGTGATAGTTAAATAGAATATAATTTTCTTGTGGATTCTGCGTACAGTGAGTTAGCCAATAACGGGTCACTAGCGAAACTTTTAGTGTTTATGAACGAACGATTTTTAGATTCTTATATAAATGTATGATGATTAGAAGTATTTTTATTCCCCTTTCACTGTATACTTCTTGTGAATTCATATTTTGAATGCATCGTGTTGTATTTACCGTTTCCAAACTTCTTGTAAACATGCCAATAGCTGGTCAAATCGGCCATTAGCGGGTCACGTGATATACGTACGGGTTTTTTTCTCAAAACATTAATTATCTGTCAAATTCTTCCTTAACCAGGAAAATATTACACAACTATGTGTTACCGCTGAGTATTAAAGTGAAAAGGGTACCAATAAGTAAAGAATCCAAGTGGCAGCTGCATGATTGTGGTAAAAACAATAATGATTGTAATAATTCTGATCTAGATATCTGCTCAATGAATTGTAAATTGTGTAGATAACATATTTATTTTATTTTCAGGGGACAAAGCAGCTCATCGAAGCAATTTTTTGCACATTCTATGTAAAATTCCATTAAATTAACTGTAACACAAGTGTCTTGTTGTGAATCAAAAGCTTAAAATGCAGTCTCAAGAAATTTGCATGTTCTTCTATGTGGTCATTATGAGGATACACTTTATAAGAATAACAAACAAAATTGTCAACTGATTTTCTTTTATTGAGTAAACTCTGTGATATAAACAAACAAAATCATAACAAAATACATGTAATGAGGTAAAACAATATTGACTACATCATTTAACAATACTGACTTGGTTCAATGTCAAACCTAAAGAAAAACCCATGTAATTATGTAAAACAAAATTGACTCGATCATTAAACAATACTGACTTGGTTCAACGTCAAACCTAAAAAAAAACATTTAAAACAATATTGACTTAATATCATTAAACAATATTGACTTGGTTCAACGTCAAACCTAAAAAAATACATGTAATGATGTAAAACAATATTGACTAGATCTTTAAACAATACTTGCTTGGTTAAAAACATTATGAATTTTCAGTCATACTTGCTTGGTTAAAAACATTATGAATTTTCAGTCACTTAAAGGCACATTATGTGTAAGAAAGAATAATAATTCTGCCGAAAGTGCAAAAATGAGTTTAAATATGTTGTAATATGGATTTATATCATGTGAGATGCTTATCATCTGATAAAAATACCTTTGAATATAAAATCATTTGTGATAAAGCAAGTAAATTAATACAAAATACTAATTAACTTTAACTGTACTAAACCTAAGCACAAAGGAAACTAAAAATGGTTCAGAAATATGACCAATAAGTAACTTCTGGAGACTGCAAAATGGACATTAAAAATAACAAAGCTTTGAAAAAATAAAGTGATAGCCTTAAAATAACAAGGCTTTGAAAAAAATAATGATAGCATTGTTAGGCTTAATTGGCTTTTACAGAGTTGAAAATTTACATACATTTGTATGTTATTCCTTGTTCAGTGTCATGGCAGGGCCTTCTGGGATTTTATCTAGTATTACAGAAAGTTTTTGAAAATTACTCTCAATATCTGGGTGAAATATAATATAGTTGCATGGCAACACAACCCCACCACCTTCAGAACTTGGAGCCGGCCATGGTGGGAAACTCTGAGTGGGCTCACCAGTAACTTCAGCTTCGATATGTCCTTTGTCCATAATGGTACGAAAAAAGCCAGCTATCCCTCGTGGAACATGGAAAATTGGAAGTCCTGCTACATCTCACAACCGTAGCTGGCGTTTTTGGTCAGTGACTCTATCATGTAACAATGTTTGGAATGACTCAAGTGGCGGCAACCACACCAAGCAGGCATCAGTATCATAGATATTTGTATATTCAGGCTCTACTGTTAGATGTGTTGGGGATGTAATTGATGGTGGTCTTATTTGAAAAGCGTGATACCCTTTGATAACTGACTTTTTAAGGACCATGGATTGTTCTGAAGTTTCCTGAAAAATAAAAATTATTTCATTAATAAAGGAAAATTAGATTTAACAATAGCTTCATTTATATAAAAAAGTAATCTTAATGAGAATAAGTTAGGAAAAAAGAATAAATAACAGCACAGCATTAAATAGAGATAAAAGGAGATACGTCAAGAAATGAAGTAATAATAATAATAATAATAATAATAATAATAAGAAAAATTATTAAATTTTAAACAAAATTCTTAGTTCAATGGGGAAATAATTCTGTAAAACAAATGTGTGCTAAAGTAATAAATTTTGTCACACATCCTGTGGGTGATGAAAAACCATGTATTTGAAGTTTTAAGTGGTTAACTTAAAAATAAAGAAGTTACTGTACAGTTAAAAATAATATTTTAGAATCTAGAACAATAATATTTCAATGTTGCAGCAGTTTATACTACATAAAACACCATATTTTAGCATGGACTGCATAATTCACCTGCAATAATAACATAAATAAATTAAATTTTATATTTCTTTGTATACAAACCAAAATTTGCTTTAAAAAATAGTTTCTAAAACCTGTTTAATAACTTTGAGGCGGTCCCTTCCTGGAAAATTGCATGACCCGCTATTGGACAACGTGATGCAATTTAATTGACCAGCGCTATATACTGAATTTATTGAACTCGTTGAATAAAACAATATTATGCTCGCCAGTGGCTCGCATAATATGATTTTATTCAACTCATTCAATAAATTTAGTATTAAACCTACACTCATTCAATATCCTCTGTATAACATATAGAAAAAATATTGAATAATTATCATATAGATCTATTGAATAATTATCATCTATGTATTTTTATTCAATCCTTTTTTTCATGTACTATTACTGTTTGTTTATTTTTCTATTAAATTCCAAAATGAAAAAATAGGGAGTGAAACGTAGGCCTATATATACTGTGAATATGAGTATGATTGACAAATTTTCAGTAGGAGCGAAACGTATAGGTACGAACAGTCTTGGGAATGAAATTTCTCGAGAGTGAACCGTCTTATTGTCGAAACGTTTTCGGACCGAGTGGAAATAAGCAGAAAAATAGGACAAAAAAGTAAAGTTTTTGCTACCCAGCTTAGTCATATACAGCAGTAGCTTTAAAATCTACTTCTGTCCTGTAATGAAAGCGAATATTATTATTTTGAACGCATGATACCAGTTACGCATTTGTTTGACATTAGTTTTCGCGGATATTAGAGGTCTAATTTCGTTATATTTCTGGTTGACTCTCACTCTTTTACCAGCAACTGTTTTTATGAGTATTATGTGCATACTTGTGTATGACACTGAGATGGTCTCGGCCATAGGTGTTCGGCGCGTTGATTGGTCACTACCCCCGGGCTCCCTCATCCACTCTACAATTAACTCTCCTACCTCTCAAGACCATGTAAAGTGCAGTATTTTTCATTTGAAACATGTTTTAATATTTGGTTTATGCTTTTAATTGAATTACTTCTATTTCCCACAAAAATTTAAAAATTGATATATATATATTTAGTAAAGGTATGCAACTCGCCGCACATTTTTCAGAACTCATTTTAATATGAACTCCATAACTCCATCATTTTTTCACCAATTTTCAATATTTTATAGAATTGATTTATAAAGCTGTCATTACAACCATTTCAAGTTATAAGAACATATGTAATCTCGAAGTCACCACAAGTGTAACTCGACAGAGACCTGACCGCTGGGATTTTGGCAAAATTACCTGACTAAACAGCAATTTATTCAAAATGAATGAATAATTTTTTGTATTGCACATATAAATATGATAAAATTATATTATTATTTGTAATAACTGTTCAATCAAAACATCATATTAAACTATAGTAAAACGAACCGTTTGGGTAATGACCAATCAACACGCCAAACACCTATGGTCTCAGCCCAGTGAATGTTCGTATTTTTTGTTCTCTATTAAATCAGTCGCATTTGAGGCATAATTCTGGATTAAAAAACACTGTTTTTGATGAAGTGCATACTGTCTTTGAACATCATCTCTATCTAAGTCAAATGAGGCACGAAATATAGTATGTTTGCCATCTCCTTTTTTTAGAAATCTTCATCCTGTTGTTACACTGTTCAATATCATCTGTACCACTAGTGCACTACCAAAGTTGTTTATATTTTGTCCCTTGTGTCAAATATTGGCCTTGCCGCAGGGGGTCATAGGTTTTCTTTATTTATAATATATATTAAAAACTTTAAATATCTTCCTCCCCCACCTTATATACTTTTTAAAAGTTCTTTAACATTGCTATGTAACAGTCTAAAGCACAATAGCTCATGATTTCGAACCTCTTAATATTAAAAAAACTGATCCTGATTCCCGATGTGGCACAAAATTTTGCAAATAAAGGTTTAAAAAAAAGTTTTTTTTTCAAATTGAAAGTAATTTAAAATAAAGAAAAAATTTAACCTGGGAAATTTAAAGCAGAGATGAAAAATCATCAATAGTGTAAAGGTAGATAAACATAGTAGTTCCGAGAGCAGTGATGATGGGGAAGAAGACACATCCCTCTGCAGAGAGAAACAAAAGAAATTCTTCAGGTACAAATTTTACATTTAATATGTGTCCTTATTTTCCCACATCAATATAATTGGAAGGGTAATTTTGAAATTGCATTGTCTGTACTTCCAGCACTGTTATCTTGAAATTAGTTTGACTAATTTTCTTGAAACTTGTGAATGTATATTTATGTGAATAGGGAAATGAGGAAAACTGAGAACATTACATTTATTCATTTATACATATATTTAATGTATTGGGAATTAATTTCAGAATTTCGCATTGTCAATAGTTGAGCCTTGACTTTTTACCCGTTATCATCTTATCAACTTTCTTGTGTATTTTTTTCTCATTATACCCCCAAAAACGAAGTTTGGGGGGGTATATAGGAGTCACCCGGTGGTCGGTCGGTCGGTTCGTCGGTCGGTCGGGCGGTCGGTCGGTCCAGACGTCCGTTGCATTTTCCTTGTCCGGAGCATAACTTGAAAACTAATGGTTGGAATTCAATATAACTACATACAATGGTCAAGCACATTGAGAGGAAGTGCAGTGCACAAGAACCATAACTCTATCATGACTAATTACAGAGTTATTGCCCTTTGTTACTTTTCCTTGTCCAGGGCATAACTTGAAAACTACTGGTTGGATTCAAAACAACTTCATACAATTGTCAAACACAATAAGGGAAGTGCAGTGCACAAGAAACCATAACTCTATCTAAAGTAATTACAGAGTTATTGCCCTTTGTTGCTTTCCATTGCTTTTTTTTTTGTCCGTGTGCATTTTCCTTGTCCGGAGCATAACTTGAAGACTAATGGTTGGAATTCAATATAACTACATACAATGGTCAAGCACATTGAGAAGGAAGTGCAGTGCGTAAGAAACATAACTCTATCTTGACTAATTACAGAGTTATTGCCCTTTGTTACTTTTCCTTGTCCGTGGCATAACTTGAAAAAACTACTGGCTTGGAATTCAAAACAACTTCATACAATTGTCAAACACATAAGGGGAAGTGCAGTGCACAAGAACCATAACTCTTATCTAAAGTAATTACAGAGTTATTGCCCTTTGTTGCTTTTCCATTGCCTTCTTTTTTTTGTCCGGACCATAACTTGAAGACTAATGGTTGAAATTCAATATAACTACATACAATGGTCAAGCACATTGAGAGGAAGTGCAGTGCATAAGAACCACAACTCTATCTAAAGTAATTACAGAGTTATTGCCCTTTATTACTTTTCCATTGCTTTCTTTTGTCCGGACCATAACTTGAAGACTAATTGTTGGAATTCATTATAACTTCATACAATGGTCCAGCACATTGAGAGGAAGTGCAGTGCACAAGAACCATAACTCCATTTTGACTTATTACAGAGTTACTGCCCTTGTTTCTTTTCTTGTCCAGAGCATGACTTTAAAACTACTGGTTGGAATTCAAAACAACTTCATACAATGGTCAAGCACAATAAGGGGAAGTGCAGTGCACAAGAACCATAACTCCATCTTGACTAATTATAGAGTTATTGCCCTTCGTTACTTTTCCATTGCTTTCTTTTGTCCGGACCATAACTGGAAAACTTATTGTTGGAATTCATTATAACTTCATACAATGGTCAAGCACATTGAGAGGAAGTGCAGTGCATAAGAACCATAACTCCATCTTGACTAATTACAGAGTTACTGCCCTTTGTTACTTTTCCTTGTCCAGAGCATGACTTGAAAACTACTGGTTGGAATTCAAAACAACTTCATTCAATGGTCAAGCACAATAAGGGGAAGTGCAGTGCACAAGAACCATAACTTCATCTTGACTAATTACAGAGTTATTGCCCTTTGTTACTTTTCTTGTCCAGAGCATAACTTGAAAACTACTGTTTGGAATTCAGTACAACTTCATACAGTTGTCAAGGACATTCAAAGGAAGTGCAGTGCACAAGAGCCATAACTCCATTTTGACAAAAATACAGAGTTACTGCCCTTTGATACTTTTCCTTGTCCGGAGCATAACTTAAAAACTACTGGTTTGAATCCAAAACAACTTCATACAATGGTCAAGCACAATAAGAGGAAGTGCAGTGCACAAGAACTTTAACTCTATCTTCAGTATTTATAGAGTTATTGCCCTTTGTTCTTTTTCTTTGTCTTTCTGGACTTATTACAGAGTAATTCAATTAAACTTCATCAATGGCCAACCACATTGAAAGGAAATGCAACATACATGAACCCCAATTATCTTTAATTGCCCACAACCATAACTCTATGTTTCAATTCTTTTACAAGGTATTCTGTTACTAGTAACATCCTCATTTCCGAAGCAGTCTTGTGGGGGTATTAATCACATTTAGTGATAGTTCTAGTTCATTTTAGTAACATTAGGCACGTGTACAAAGGTAACACTAAAGGGGAAAATCATATTATTTGTGTTATTTCTAAAGGTACAAACGTTGTGGGGGTATTAATCACATTTAGTGATAGTTCTAGTTTGATACTACCATCCATGAGCAGGCTAAATTGAACATTTTCAATTGTGCCATGTGGGACCTTCTTTAAAGTTTTAATTTTGTCTGTTTCATATGAGTTTCTTATATATCATCTTGTAGAAAAAAGTAATTCATTACATGTAGGTGCATTGTATATCTTTTTACCCTTTAAAGTATTACCTTGATCTGTACATGACCTTGACTATTAAGGTCAAATATGAAACAATATTAAAATTCTGTACATAAAAATGTTTTTTTCTAAACTCTGCAATATTCTTATATCTGATGTGTTTGCCTTTGGCAAATAAATAAAGTTGGGCTTGTCCTCTGCATTGTGGTGGCTCTTACAGTAAATGAAATATTGGTGTACTTCTGAAGAACATAAAGCATTTCTTTTGTTGTCTTTCTTTCAATTTAAATTCTGTTCAGATATAATGATACAGTGTGATAATTTTAATATTAAAGGAAACAAAACAGCAGTGGTGTGGTATCAGATTCAAGTTCTCCCATGAAAGAAGGAAAAACAGATTCTGGATATGCACAAGGGTCACAGCGTAAGAAAAGTAACAATATATGGGGTTCAGTAATTACTGAACAAGATTTGACACAAACATTGGTACAAAGTGCAGCAGTAGACAAACCGGATGAACTATCATATAATGAGCGTAGTGTTGAGAGTTATGATTTCACAAAGAAATATCAGGAGAAAAGACATGGATGGGATATGACTGATTCAGGTGTTCCAAGTTTGGATAACAACACTGATAATTTCAATTTTGGAGTTAATTCAAAGTCTTCAGATGTAAGGGGCCGCACTATAATTGGCTATGAAGATACCTTAGACAAGTCAAGAGATCAAAGAGATTTAAGACATAATATTGGCAAATCAAATAAAAGAAAACGTAAAGCAGATAATGGCAATGATAGACATCAGCATAGTCGTATTCATGATAGGTTAGGCATTAAAAAGGTGACAACAACAAAATTAGGTGAAATAGATGTATCTGTTGATATGGAAAGTGAATTGCTGATTGCAAAAATAGCCGAATTTCTTCATGAACCCAAAGTAGAATTAATAGGTAAGTGCTTTTACATATATACTGTTAACATATACAAATGTATGAGGATGTAGTGTCCATATGAGTGATCCACTGCATTACATATAGATCTTAAAATTGCATCCTTTTCTGCAAAACTGTAAGGCTTGAAGCTTTAATATATGGATTGTAGTATCTTCGTATAAAAACCCTTAAGGTGTTTAGTTCCTCTTGTCAAAGACAAACAGATGGAGGTATTGTCTTAGTACACTAGTCCGCATTAATTAACATTTCTGGTTAAGAATAAAGTTTACATATATATAAGTGACAAATCAGAGGTCTAATTAATCGAAATTTTCTTTAAAATCATGCAGTTTTCCCAAAAAGCTGAGCTTACACAAGCTTTTTTATTTCCCAAATTTAATAGCAATTTCAGCAATAATTTCCCCAAAATATAGAAGCTAAGGCCTTTTCCAAATAAAGTGATTTATGATCCTTAAATTTAATACTATTGAAACACACCTTAATGAGTTTTACCTGTCACACCAATTATAATTTATATGGTCAAAAGTTTAAAGATCAAGGTCACTGTGACTTATAATAGGCTTTGGTCCTTTTTCTTAGAAACTACCTTTTCTACTCAGAGTGCCAGATATTTATACCCCCGCACAACAAAGTTGTAAGGGGGGTATACTGGAATCAGTTGTCCGTCTGGCCGTCCGGCGTCCGTCGGTTTTTTCTTGTCCGCCCAATAACTAAAGATTCCTTTGACCCACAGTCTTCATATTTGGCATGGAGGTTAGTCTTGATTAGTAGATGACCCCTATGGATTTTGAGGTCACCAGGTCAAAGGTCAAGGTCACAGGGGCCTTGACTTCTAAAAGCTTGTCCGCCCAATAACTTAAGATTCCTTTGACCCACAGTCTTCATATTTGGCATGGAGGTTAGTCATGATAATTAGATGACCCCAATTGCTTTTGAGATCACTGTGTCAAAAGTCACGGTCACAGGGTCTTTGACTTCAAAAAGCTTGTCTGCCTAATAACTTTAGAATCCTTTGACCCACAACCTTCCTATTTGGCATGGAGGTTAGTCATGATAAGTAGATGACCCCTATTGATTTTGAGGTCACCAGGTCAAAGGTCAAGGTCGCAGGGGCCTTGACTTCAAAAAGCTTGCCCGCCCAATAACTTAAGATTCCTTTGACCCACAATCTTCATATTTGGCATGGAGGTTAGTCATGATAAGTAGATGACCCCTATTGATTTTGAGGTCACCAGGTCAAAGGTCAAGGTCGCAGGGGCCTTGACTTCAAAAAGCTTGTACGCCCAATAACTTAAGATTCCTTTGACCCACAGTCTTCATATTTGGCATGGAGGTTAGTCATGCTTAGTAGATGACCCCTATCGATTTTGAGGTCACAAGGTCAAAGGTCAAGGTCGCAGGGGCCTTGACTTCAAAAAGCTTGTCCGCCCAATAACTTAAGATTCCTTTGACCCACAGTCTTCATATTTGGCATGGAGGTTAGTCATGATAAGTAGATGACCCCTATCGATTTTGAGGTCAACAGGTCAAGGTCACAGTGGCCTTGACATCAAAAAGCTTTTCCGCCCAATAACTTAAGATTCCTATGACCCACAGTCTCATATTTGGCATGGAGGTTAGTCGTGATTAGTAGATGACCCCTTTCGATTTTGAGGTCACCGGGTCAAAGGTCAAGGTCACAGGGGCCTTGACTTCAAAAAGCTTGTCCGCCAAATAACTTAAGATTCCTATGACCCACAGTCTTCATATTTGGCATGGAGGTTAGTCATGATTAGTAGATGACCCCTATCGATTTTGAGGTCACCAGGCCAAAGGTCAAGGCCACAGGGGCCTTGACTTGAAAAAGCTTGTCCGCCCAATAACTTAAGGTTCCTACGACCCACAGTCTTCATATTTGGCATTGAGGTTAGTCATGATTAGTAAATGATCCGTATTGATTTTGAGGTCACTGGGTCAAAGGTCAAAGTCACAGGATTCTTGTCAAAATAAAGCTTTTCCACTCAATTGCTTCAGAATGCCTGTCCAGAGTGTATTGATTTTGACATTTTCACATTTGAAGCATGTAGAATACATAACTTAGCAATGCACTGGCTTATAAACCTCTGATTTGGCAGGGAGGTTGTCCTTGAGTTCTAAATGGCCACTGTTGATTCTGACAAAGTGGTATGCGGGGGTATTCACGCCATGATAGTGGCAGTTCTAGTTTTTTCTGGCCAAAGGTTTTTAACCCCTCAAAATTAAGAATGAGGGTTAAAATGCAAATTTTGAGAAATGTAAGGGGAACAATATATCTGCTTTAGATATAGGGAAGTCTATAATGTTTCTGAGAAAGGACAATCTTATTATATCCAATCAATTATCATCATACATGTGCTTCAGAAAAAGTTTGATTAATTTTTGTATTGTTACGCTTGACAATAACCTTAAAAATAACTGAAAACAGTACAGAATCTAGAAAGAGTAATACATGTATATTAGATAAGTGTTGATGATAGTAATACTACAATCATTGTTTTTTTTGTTTAGAGAGAATAGTTACACATCTTGGAAAAGATGTTGCAATAAGAATTCTGGAAGCAACCAAAGATGTGGAAGAAGGTGGAGGCATGTATACACTTGTAAGTTTTCTTCATTGTTTTATGTCAGGTATAAGGATCAGTTTATATGTTATCATATTATTCTATTATATCATGTTTAGTTTCTAGCAGTCATTTATACTTAACTGATACAATACATAATTAAATGAGTCGCGCCATGACAAAACCAACATAATGGGTTTGTGACCAGCATGGATCCAGACCAGCCTGCGCATCCGCGCAGTCTGATCAGGATCCATGCTGGCTTACATACTCTATAACAAGTAGAGAAACTGATAGCGAACAGCATGGATCCTGATCAGACTGCGCGGATGCCAATGCCTCATATTATCATGGTACTTAACTGTTTAACACAGGCAACAAAAGTTAAAAGAAAATATGTTGAATATTGTAAGAAAGACATGTCAATTTCATCATAGTTTTTATTCCATTAAATGTTTGCATGTAAGCTATTATGTACACAACATGGCAATTAACACCAATCTGCTGCCTAGGGAGTTAAGTTGTGTTCTCATATGATATATCTAAGGCAATTACATTTTAACAGTTTCAAAAGCAAAACCAATAGTAATCTTTTTGTTTAAAGTACATCTTTACCTAGTCCCGTCTGAAAGTGGGGATTTTCTCTATGGCATTTATCAAATATCTCAATGGTTGTTTATCAAAGACACTTGTCTTAAAAGATATGAAAACTAAGATGGTGAAATAATTTACTTTCTTAATCTGAATAAAATAATAATTTTTCTCAGTTGTATTTGTAACATTAGGATAAAAATACAATAATAAAGTAAAAGTAAAACTGCTGGCAGATGCATGAAGTCTAGGAGGCACTTGAGACTGTTTATGCCGAATATCTTGGAATTATGGGTACATGTACCACGGAAATATGAATGAAAACGTTGAAAGTGAAAAATAAATTTTCCAAAAGGTAAATTTTACTGTATAAAGAAAGAATGTTGTATATTGTTTACAGGATGGTAGTAGAAGACGTACACCAGGTGGTGTCTACCTAACATTGATGAAACAACAACCAGAATTTAATAAAGATGTTAGAAGACTTATTTTTGTGGAAGATGTTCAAGAAATGATGAAACACAGAAGGGAAAAGCGTAAAAAGTAAAAAAAATATAATAAAAATTGAGGGTTTGCCCAGGGGAGCACCCAATAAATTATCTTTCAATAATCTTTATTTATTGACCAGTTTCTGTCATATTTGGTAAGAACATACCTCTATCTTATTAAAATCAGAACATACCATAGATAGATGGTTTATGGTACTTTAGGTAAACTTGGGCCAAAAGGTCACCAGTGCTAAATATAGATTTTATGCTTTTGCTCTTACAACATTTATTTATATTGATACAATCATGCCTTTTATATTTGGTGGGCAGATACCTTGTGTGGTTCCTTTGCTTGAAGTTAAGGGTCACTGGGTTTAATGTTAGTGTTTCTTGACTCTGAAGCTTTTTTCTGAAACTTGTATGCTTTTAACTGGGCTATTTTTCAATGGATTTATTAACAAAACTTACCTTTTATTCTAATCATAATTGAAGCTAGTTTACTTTCTGAGTTATTTCTCTCTGATAATTTCTACTCTCATATTTTTATTATGAGCATAACACTGAAGTCATGAACCTCATGTTTACATTTCATAAATTGTCTTATGGTGATTTCTCTAGGCTCTCTTAGACTACTTGTCATTACCTTATCATAATGATTACATGTATTTATTTCCAGGGCAAAAACAAAGAAAAAACAACAAGCTAAGAATGAGGGCAAAGAGCAAGAGGATAATAATTTGGGTTCAGTGTCACACTCTGAATCTGGATCAGTGTCAAACTCCTTAAAGACAACAGACAAAGCTGTAGATGTGGCAGAAGATATGGAAGATGGTGAAATTAAAGATGAACCTGATGACGAAAAAAATACTGTTGGAAAAGTAAACCAACAAAATTCCAAAAATAATTCAGATGATGGGAGCAGTGGGGAGTCTGATTACTATGACAATGATAGACAGAAATCTGTCTGGTCAAAACCATTCAATTTTGAAGATGAATTAGCAGAAACTAAGAAATTAATCCTTGAAAAATCAAAGTCACAAAATAAGGGACAGAATTGTGAATTGAAGGAAACAGAGTGTAATGAAGGTCAGGATATGGATATAAATAATGTTTCTGAAATGGCTGATCTAGAATCTGCTGAAGCAAATGTTGTAGACATTGATTTGGGCATTGATACAGATTAGTTAAACAAAGGACTTCAGATAAAATGGTATAACCTTAAAATGAAATGTTTGACATATGGCGGTGTGTAAAGCAGAACAAAATTCATGTGTTCATATTGTAAATCTTATGATGATTTTGAAAGATTTGATCACTAGTTCTCATTAGAATAATTACAAGAATTTGGTCTAACTTTTGTTGTTAGTTCACCCATACATGCCATATTTCCAGCCACCCAGATAGGGGGATTTGTCTTTAAAAAGTAGAGGATTTGGACCAAAATAGTGGTATTTTTTTAGAAAGCTTACACCAGTCGTAATCTTATAGTTTAAAATATGCAAAAATAAATATATATATTTTCCCCATTTTATTATGAAAATGAGCATTTCTTCTACATCATTTGATATTTCCATGTTCAAAACAATGATAAATAACAACTAAAACATGTATCCGAAATGTGGTACATCCGAAGTCACATACCATTTTGTAAATGAAATTAGTGATCTTATTAGCTATTATTATACATCAGTAATTAATTGATTTTTATATGCCCGAAAGAATTTTGGGCATATTATGTTATAACCCCTGGCATCCGTCCGTCTGTCCGTTATGCATAAACTTAAGCCCCATTGGCCACAACATTTCAAACTTCATAAGGATATTGTCCATATTGGTAGAGAACCCTAATGATTTTTGGGGGTCACAAGGTCAAAGGTCAAAGGCACTATTACCCTTTAAAACCGAAAAATTTTTCCAGAGCAAACTCAATTCATTGTGCCACAATATTCCAAACTTCAAGGATGTTGTCATATTGAATACGAAGACCCCTATTGATTTTGGGGTCCAAGGTCATTAGTCACTATTCACCTTAAAACTGAAAACAGTTTCTGAGGCATAACTTAAGTTCCATTTGGCCCACAATATTCAAACTTCATAGGATGATAGTGCATATTGGGTAGAAGACCCCTTTTGAGTTTGGGGTCACAAGGTTAAAGGTAAAGGTCACTTACCTTAAAACTGAAAACAGTTTCTGGAGCATAACTTGAGTTCCATTTGGCCCACAATATACAAACTTCATAGGATGATTGTCCATATTGGGTAGAAGACCCTTATTGATTTTGGGGTCACAAGGTCAAAGTCACTATTACCTTAAAACTAAAAACTAGAGTGTTAAGAAGTTTCCAGAGCATAACCTTAGTTCCATTTGACCCATTATATTCAAACTTCTTAGGATGATTGTCCATATTGGGTAGAAGACCCCTATTGATTTTGGGGTCACAAGGTCAAAGGTCACTATTACCTTAAACTGAAAACAGTTTCTGCTCAATAACTTAAGTATTAATCAACCTACAGCTGTAAAATTTTATAGGATGAACAGCTGATTCCCATGTCTTGCAAATGCTTCATCCTTATTAAAAAAAAACACTTCCAGGCATATAATGCTCAGCCTAGCGGTGCTCTTGTTTATTTATATTTTATACAATACAAATTTTTTGATACCATGAATGTTAAGGAGATCAAATTTAAGCAATTTTTTGCACTGGAATTTAATCTGCAAAGAATTCTGGATATGCAGTTTGATTTCCGGTTTCAGAAAGTTAAATTTATATTTTTTTGAATAATAAGAGGCTGTTTAGCGCTTATGTCAATCATTTATTGTGTTTTTTAATGAAAAATTTACAGGTCAAAGGAGCTAAAAATAGAAAAATCTTTTTAACACTAGTGGCTACTGTTTTGATCCAAATAATTATATGCAGGAAATTGGTCTAAAAGTTTGATTTGATGATTTCTAGGTCAAGTACAAATATGGGTCACCTGGGGTCAAAAACTAAGTCACACTGCCGAAATATGGAAAAACATTGTTAACACTGGTGGTCACATTTTTGA